GAAGTAGAAAGCAAAGCAAACCAACTCCTTCCCTTACTGTCCAAAACAGTACAAAGATGCACCGCCTCACCCTCAAGCCCAAAGCGACCCTTTGATCAACTATAAACCTTCAGGTGGAAAACATTGCTCAAATAATCACACAGGACCATTTAAAAATTATTTGTTTCTATTCTTAAAGCCAGCATCTAAACAAAAATGGGAAAAGTGCGGTTCTTTATGTTAGGGGTTGCATTTTGGCTTTCATACTTTGCAAATACTGAATTGTAATATGATTTAAAGTTGAGCGAATAAATAAGTAAGCTTTAAGGGAGGTTGGTTTGCAATCAGCATCATGTCATTTTATTTAAATTTTTAATAAATACTATACTACAGAAGAAAAACAGGTAGAATATTTACAAAAAGAAAGTGGTGCAGAGAATTTTCTAAAATCTTCTGCTACGTAAGTACCCCCAGAAAAAGGTCTGCTCATAGATAGGTAAGTTGTTAATTAAGGAGTAGCTTTTGGTGTATGACAAATTCTCTTAAATAATAATTTCTATATTGTTGCTCAGTAAGGTTAAAGTTTGTTAGCTACAAAAGGTGACCATAGTGCTTGTAATTGTTTAACTAGGGTATATAACAGAGTATAGAAAACAAGGCTTACTTGTATATGTTCCTTGTGGAGATTCTATTTTTGGAGTAAGATGTTAGAACAACATTTACCTAGTCCCAAAGTCATACAAGAAAGATTATACGATCCGTACTCCAAAAGCCTACATTATATTGTTTATAGTGTCAATAGCAACAGACTTGAATCAAATATTGGTTTGTTCAGGATGGAAAAGCTGGACTTGGGAATCAAAAGCAGTCAGGCAAAGTCTTTGGGCACTCTGGTATCAATCTCGGGGGCATTGGTTGTGACTTTATACAAAGGCCTGCCACTTACCAGTGCTCCATCCACTAATAGATTGCTTGACGAACTTCTTCTGATTCCTCAATCAAACTGGATTATTGGAGGCCTTTTCCTTGCATCTCATAGTGTTATCTTTGCAATTATACTCAATGTTCAGGTACATCCCCGATGAATGTACAATAAACACGTTTGTTTTCATGCAAAATTTGCTGCAATTGTGCCCTCTAAGATTGACCTGAAAAAACATGTAGTAATTTCCTTTTTTACTCTCTAAAACCACAGACTTGGATTATAAGGGGCTACCCTGCGGAGATGATTGTAACACTCATTTGTAGCATCTTTGTCTCCATACTATCCTCGCTTGTCTCGCTGATTGTAGAGAAGGACCCAAATGCTTGGAGACTTGGGTTAAATATGGAGTTAATAGCTGTTGTCTACACAGTAAGTTCACACACAAAACCAAATCCTTTCGTTCTGTCCTAAATCATCTCTCCTCGTTTCGAATTTTGAATTAACTCGAGGCACCCTCTTGATCTCTAGGCAGCTTTCGCGGTAGCATTTCGAAGTGTTGTTCACAAATGGGCATTGCGCAGGAAAGGGCCTATCTATGTTGCCATGTTTAAGCCACTTGGGATGGTCATTGCTCTTGCTATGGGGGTTACCCTTCTTGGTGACACACTTTATCTTGGGAGGTAAAATTTTTCCGTGTATAATAAACTATTACCGATGAAGTTTGATTCTGTCTGCTTGACTTGAAAGTTTGGAGGAGATAACGAATATGATTTTCAATTCAAAATATATCTGCAGTTTACTTGGAGCAGCCATTATAGCTATTGGATTTTATGCTGTGATTTGGGGGCAATCCCAGGAAGAGAGACTGGTTGAAGATGCAGAAATTTATGACTCTGAACGATCCTCAGCTAAAGATCCTCTACTCCCAGACCGGGGCTTGGTGGTGTAGTTTATTGATTTTCACAAAACATAAAAAAGGAGAGCTACTGAGAAATCCCGAGGCAAAAATGGAATAAGCTCTTCAAGATGCCCTTTTGTACACCGGAAATTCTCCAAATAAAATTGTGATTCAGATGGTTGACCGTAGTGCATTGCCTCCCATGACTTCATTTTCCGTTAACAAAATTATGAGGTTAGGGTTCTCAATCGGGACAAAACTTTTGTAAGGTTGTTTTATTTATATTGAATTCCTAGGATTAAATAAATTTGAAAATAGTATCTACCGAAAATTTGATAAATAAAGAATTTATTTATTGCAAAGACGCTAAAACTTTTCCCTTGATAATACAAAGTGTGAACTACATCGCATTGAGAAACAGGCAACCATGGTTGACCCTGGATTTTGTGCTGAAATGTGGGGAAAGGCTGAAGAAGAGAAGGCAGGGGAGGAGCAATGGAGGGGGAGGGGCGGAAGCGGTGATGCTTGGACTCGAAAAGAAAAATAAGAGGAAATTTTGGAAGGGAAAATCAGAGATAAAAACTTATGTGTGCTGAGAGGAAAATAATAGGAGAATAAAGTTGAAGGTAATCAACTAAGCGTGGGAGGAAAAGAAATATGATCATTTGAAAGCTAAATGTGCAATAAATAAAGATAAATAAAAGGAGAAAAAAACACTTGACGGTGGTTTCATTGGAATTGTTTGTTTACTGTGAATATTGTGGTATGGTGTCGTTTATTGCTTGTTTGGTTACAAGGAAATCAGTTGAAGGAACAGGTTGTCTCTTTTAAACAGCAAAATTATGTAAATATACACGGTTGGAAAACAGTTCAAGCATTTTCCTATCCTGTTGAGCTGGCTCAGTTAGTTTTTGTGAGATTGGCATCTCATTTGCTACTTGGAAACAAGCACAAGGTTGTACTGCAATTCATTTCTGTTTATACAGGAATGTGTGTCCTTCACCAATACAATGGAGGCATACGGGGTGGGTCCAGGTAAAGCAGAGAGTGCATGGTGATGAGATCTTTGATTAATGGGTCGCGAAGATAGACTCTGATATTGCCATTATTTTTAGTTGGAAAAAGAGCAATGGTTGATTTGGAGTGCGCCCCTTAATGCAATCAATTATTTGGATATTTGTACAAGAAGTAACTCTTCTGGCATCGCCTTAATTTCTTAATAATTCTTAGGATTATCAATCCTGAAGGCTGTTCCGTGGATATTTTCCCTGCTTTAATTACTTCATTGACTAGAATATTACATATCAGGGCTCAGGCCCTAAATTTTGTTAATTGATCATTGAACAAGGTTAACATGATACAGGAATATACATCCTGATGGAAATTTGCTTGTACTACATTTATGCATATATTCATCCAGTGCTGGAAAGCATCCTACAAGAGCCCCTTCTTGCCACAGAAAAGAAGTGTATCTTTTAAAATCAATAAAAGCGAAATCAGCATAAGGACCGCATTTTAATTTGCAGATAGGTGTCTCTTGCGGTCGTGATTCCTCAAAATGGAGACAGCCATGTGTGTATGTTCAGAAAACAATGATGGTAACACTAGTGGTACCTTTCACTCAATATAACAGTTACGGTCCTAATATGCATCATGAAGCGTTTTGGATTGATGCAACATCACCAAAAATATTCATCCATAATACAAATGCCCTGCCCCTTGCTGGTGCCTTTTTCTAATTTAATGCCAAGTGTCCTCCACCCCGTTAACACTGAGATAATGGTAAGTAACGGTGTTCAGAGGGGTATCAGCAGAAGGATTCTACGGTCCCTTTTCAATCTTGGGTTTTGATTTGCTGCTGTTTTCTTTATATATATATATATATATATATATATATATATATATATATTTCATCTTTCCTATCTTCTTCATAGAAGTGTTGATATGAGTTGAAAAAATGTGAGCTGAGCCGGGTCAGCTTATGTTCTACATGAGCCATCAAAATCTCAATTCAGTCCATGAGTTAAATTAGGTCAACCAATTTTTTTTTATTTTTAAGTAATTTTTATAATTTTACCTAACAAGTTTCTTACCAATAAAATTATTTCAAAATTTAATAGATAAATTAAACAATAAAAGTATGTTACAAATAAATAAATTATGTCTAATATAAATAAGTAAATAAATTATATCAAATATAAATAAAATTTTAATATTTAACACAAATTACAATATCATAAACATAATTACATAATCAAATAAATTGAAGTTTTAAGACTCATTTATGTCTTCAATTCTCATCCTCAAACAAAATATTTGAATATTTTTTAAACAGTAATGATATCTCAAAGTTTAAATTATTATTATTTAATATTCTTTGTTATAAAACAAAAAAAATAATGAATTTCAATCTTAGTTAAAATTATTAATTTGATAAGGGAAAGTTAAAGATATTAAAATATATAAAATAAATAATATTATTGTAATTAAATTATTAATTATATATATTTAAATATATAAAATTATTAAATTAACTAAGATCTTTAATTTAATTTTTCTTCTTCTGATCCACATCAATTTGAGATAATCCACTGATGAAATAAACTGATCCATTATCAATCCGGAATAACCCCACTGATCAAATAAACTGACCGATCCAATGAACAGATCTACTTTTCCATCTCCCAGCCTCCATGTAAAGTTTTCTTCTTACTTTTTTACTTGACTTCAACTATTCAAACAGAAACCGGTAGGGACAATCAACAGTCACTCCACAAACATCTCATCAAGCAGACATTCACAACACCAAACAGCCAAAAGAGTAATCAAATCAATTAGCAGGACTCAGAAAAAATCCAAAATCAAACAGAGACCAGCAAGACCCAAGCAGCAAGCTAGAAATTCAAATCAAATCGGAAGAACTCGAACAGTAGAGCCCAAAAAGAAGCCAGGGATGCGAATAGAGGAAAAAAAATCCACAAACCATTCTTTCAGCGTTAGTTAGAATGTTTAATCTAGTTAAAAGTTACAAAACATATAAGACACATGGAATGATTACATTGACGGGTAGAAAAGTGAGGCACGGATGGGGCAGAGATTTCTGTTCATTCACTTCAGCATCTACACTACCAGAAAAGACATAATCATTTTCCAGGATAAGAATTCCTACCATATTAGCACTTCACTTCAGTGGGTTGAAAAGGCGCATTTTCACAACAAAAAGGAGGACATGGAAAATGGTGTCACTTGCTGTAAAAGCTACCAAGTGACTGATATCTTACAAGACTGACAAATTTGCAAGAAAAAAAAATGCCGGGTAGCAGCCTATCCGATTATCATTTTCTCAATTAAATTCAAAAGAAGACTTGCAGGAGCAGGAGCAGGAGCAGGAACAATCTTTCTGCTCTCCGGTGAGGCTCAGTGTACAAATTGAATTAACAAATTTAGCCGGTGTGCTGGCAACCCTAGCTCCGCATTTGACAATTTATATAATTTAAACTTAGAATATACCAGAGATTAAGAATCCAAATCCTCTCCCAGGAATCTGACAAGGTTCCAATCTTTTGGAGTAGTCTTCCCTTTCCTCTATTTCTTGGCACCCAGCGTCTGAAACGATGAGCAAATGTGGGCCAATAATCAGCTTTCATTATTAACAGTGCAGAATAAGTGGGGTTGAAATTTTCCTTTTTTTGGATAGAAAAAGTCATGCGAGATAGTGACTCTCTAGGTCCGATTCCATTCAAAGACTTGTAACATATGGGGCTAAAGCAACTAATATCTGGAGAATAAATCTTGGACTGAAGTTCAAGTTGATATGTGTTTATTTGTCTAGAACCAGGCAGAAAGGAAGAGAAAGGTTGCGCAAAGATGGGGACTCTGCTGCCTTTTGTGGGAATGATAATGGTAATTTTGGCTCAAGTTAGCAGCATGGTACTAACCAAAGCAGCAATGTCAAGTGGGGTTAACAAATATGTTCTGATTGTCTACTCTAATGTCCTCTCCAGCCTTATTCTTCTTCCGTGCTCTTTCATATTCCACAGGTTCCGATATTTCTAGCTTTTCCTTAAATCTTAACAAATTTAGCAGAAAATTGTTTCTGTAACTCATTTTTTATCATGGTTTTCTAACTTCTGATTTCTGAGGTTTTGGCAGATCGATGCATCTTCCATTGAACTCCTCCAATCTCTACAGATTAATCTTTTTGCTTGCCTTGATTGGGTCTGTGACATGTTTCCCTGTGCACTTTCATTTTTGTTTTCTAGTTTGGGTTCTGCAATTTCAAGCATTTTATTGCTTTGATATTTCAAGATTATAAGTTATGAATAGTCACTTTTGTCTATTATTTAAAAACATTTTAGATTCATCACATCCCTTCTCCATGCAGATCCGCTGGCCAGCTATGCGGATATGCTGGTATACAGTACAGTTCTCCTGCTTTGGCAACAGCCATGCTCAATCTTGTTCCAGCTTTTACATTCATACTTGCCATCATTTGCAGGTACTCATTCTTTATAAATTTTCAATACCTGAATGATATCACCAAATAAAGATCTCAATGTTAATTAGTGCCTACTGGGAACTTAGTGCTTCTGCAATTACTCCATTTAGTTTGGCAGCACTACGCGAAAATCTTGATTCTGTTAAAATTTCATGGGCTTACCAATCTTTGGGTGCTTACTAATCTGTAAACCTAGAGGCGTATAATGTAATACTTTTTTTTTTGAAAGTTGTATAATGTAATACTTTAAATGACTGTTTTTATGTCAACCTTCAAATCTTTTGAAATGGTGATGATTTAGGATGGAAAGCCTGGAATGGAGAAACACAAGCAGCCACTCAAAGGTCTTAGGAACCGTAATCTCTATAACAGGGGCATTTTTTGTGACATTATACAAGGGGCCAACTATTCTCAGTACACAATTACTAGTTGTGCTGCCTCATCAGCTTCTTGCCTCTCCACAATTAAACTGGGTCTTTGGAGGGCTTCTTCTTGCAGCTGAAGCTCTTCTAAATTCTGCCTGGTATATAATACAGGTTAGTTTATTGGCCCATCTTATATATTATCCTACCTGCAAAATGGGTTTAAAGGTAGAAACTGATTTTTATCATCTGTAAATCTGCAGACATTGGTACTTAAAAAGTTCCCAGCAGTACTCACTGTCATGTTTTATCTTTGCTCCTTTAACGCCATTCTGTCCACAATATATTCTTTGATTCTGGTTAGAGACCCTAGTGCTTGGAAACTCAGACCTGGTATAGGGCTTGCTGCTATTTTATACTCAGTAAGCACATTACAAGACCTATTTTCTGTTTCGATTTCCCAATTCACTTGCAATGGAACATCCTAAAGATTGGAAGTCACAAAATTTATATAGCATGGTGCTATTTGTGCAGGCAATAGTTGCAACTACCTTCCGTATCAGCTTGTGTTCATGGTGCCTATGGAAAGTAGGACCTCTCTATGTTTCCATGTTCAAGCCCTTGGCCATTATCTTTGCAGCTGTTATGGGCATCGTCTTCTTAGGAGACGCTGTTTCTCTTGGAAGGTACTAAACAAACTTATCTCAGTTTTTTCCCATCAATTATATTGCATTAGCAGACATGAGTTGAGAACACCACAATCTCTATCATTTGGCCAACAAGTTTCAGCGTGAATTTGAGAGAACTTTACTTGCAGGATAATGTTGGGAGTTAAATACTACTATTCATTTTTGTTCTGTAAATTACTCTCTTTCACTTTCATTCAATTTATGAGTAGAAACTAATGGTGACTGCTGCTGGCTGTATTGTAGTCTGATTGGTGCAGTCATAATTGTGATTGGGTTTTACGCTGTGCTATGGGGAAAAGCTAAGGAGGAGACGATGAGGGAGGACAATGGAGTGGAGAGTTTAAATCCACCAAGCGAAAAGCTCCCTCTGTTGCAAAACAGAACACAAGACGTAAGGTCTTCTGTATAGACTTACTATAAATTGATGAAAAATGAAAATTGTAAACCCAACCAATCAACACTATTCTAGAATTAATCAAGGTAGCAAATTCCTTGTGTTAAAGTTATTTGGTTCCAATTATACAAGGGGCACTGCCACTATTTGTTGTAGCATTTTGTTTCGAACCATTTGTAAAGGGTTTCTTTCTGATGTGAGAGAGGAGGTGTTATAAATAAGTACAAAGATATATTGGAGTTGGCGAAGAGAAAAATTGAAATAGTTCTTCAAATCTTGAGTATTGTGGTAAGGAGAAGAGAATTAGAGAGAGAATATTTCGAGAGAGAAGCTCTGAGTGAAAATGTATTATATTAGCTTTAAAAAATCTTTTAAAATGAATTGTGAATGTTCTATATATATAATGTCAAAAGATATTATTATTCAATAATAAGCTTTAATGCACATAATGAATAATATTATTGAAAAGAGTTTTAATGGACATAATAGGTAACCATTATTGAAACCTATTATGTGGCTATTAAAGTAGTAATTTTATTACACATAATAAGTAATGACTAGAAGCCATTATATGACTATTGACGTAGTGGGTTTTATGGCCTTTAATAGTATAACAAGATTTATTCTTAAGTAAAAAGTCTTGGTGAAAAGCTGTAATAGAACATGGTAAGAGAAAACGGTGTACATGAAAAGATAAGGGAACACTCTAAGAGGGAAAAGATAAGATGGAGAAACACTTATATTTTTAAAAAAGGTTAAAAGGAAGGTCTTTTAACTACCTTCGTATCTAAGTTACCAAGTCAAACTCTTTAGAATATCCAAAGGTGAAAATAACTCATGGACCATGCCACTTTTTTCAAGTTACTTTCACTATCATTCTCATTGAGTAGTTGTTCCACTTATTCTAGTTATTTTGCGTGAAGCAGTATTTCACTTATTTTAATTATTCTCATTAGTCTTTGTATAGCATTACGCTATTGCAAAACAATGTTTAGAGAAACAATAAGTTAATAGTCAAAATCAACTATCTACATTTTGCCCTTTACATAAGAATTCTTGCTTAAGAAGTTCTTATACATTACTTTAAAGAAAAGTTATGTTTTGTATTGTAACGAATTGTGTTGTGACACTTAGTGTTGTAACACCTTGTGCTATAACACTTTGTGTTGTAACACCTTATGCAGTAACAACTTGTACTATAATACTTTGGATAGTAACACGTTAGACAATATTGTCTTAAGTAGTAACACCTTACATGGTAACATGCTATTGTCTTGTGTAATGAGTCATGCCAATATCTTGTGTAAATAATATTTTATTGATTATGTAATAATATATTTTCCTACATAAGATAATATAAGATTTTAAGATCAAGTTGATTAATTGTAAAAGGAAAGTTAATCTTTTTCTTAACAAAACTCAATTCATTGTGCTCTATAAATAGACAATTGCTATGAAAAATTTTGACATAATTTTTGAAAAACCTCATAAATTATTCAAGAAAGTTCAAATGAGCTTTATTTTTTTATTGTGTTCAATCAAGTCTTTGTATTTTAATTTTGGATCAAATAAGGTCTTATAACTAATGATTAACTAATTGTCATTAATTAAAACACCACTTACTATTTTATACTCACAGGATACTAAAGCGACACTGATGTGGAGGGTGAAAAATATTACATGGCGATGTCATCATACCACATTAGTATATTACATCATCATTAATTACGATATGTCAACATGTTACGTCATCATCAATTATGACATATCAACATACCAAGTCAGTGCCATGTCATACAGAATGACAATTGTCATTTTGACTAATTTAGTAATTAATTATAAGGGTTTATTGTACTTAATATAAAAATAAAAGGACTTATTTAGCTCAAAATAAAAGTACATGGACTTAATTAAATGTATTAAAAGAATAAGCGTGTATTTGAATATTATTGAATTGTTTAGAGACTTTTAGGTATTATGTAAAAAATTTTCTTCATTTAGATTAAAATAGTATTCAAAGTAAAGCAAAATTCATAATAAAGCAATGATTTTCTTTCTAGAATTCAAAGTAAAGTAAAATTTAGAGCAAAGTAGTGGGGTTTTTTTTGTGATTCTTTTTAAGCAAGTAAGTTTTTCTTTTACTTGTTTTTTGTGAATTTTTTTGAACAAGTGAGGTTGTTTTCTTTGTTTTTCTTTTATTTGATAAGATCATAAAAAAAATTATTTGTTTAATTTTATTTGCTTTTTTTTTATTTCTCGTTTGTACCTTTTACTACTTTCTTTTAAATTTTTTCTTGTTGCCCGCTACATGAATCTTTTTATTATTGAAATATGAAACAAATTTTCATGCATAAGTTGACTTAAAAGAAATATTTTTTTATATGCTCAAATAGATTTATTTTTTAAAGAAGAAAATAGCACTTTTTATTTTAATATTTAAAACTGATGTTAGCTTTAAGTTACATCATGTTTTGATTTGATAAAAATTATATATTATCTTAAACTTAATATCAAGTATTTGAAATTGTCTCAAATATATTTTTAGTCCCCTAAAGTCATATAATTGTTTGAAAAGTCATGCACCATTAAAAAATATTATAAAAGCTTTCAAACAATGCATATTCAGCTAAGAAAACAAAGAGCAAATATGCCTTGAATTATTATTTGATTGTAGGAACAAGGCAAGGAAGAAATAGTTGAAGAAAAGAGCCAAAAAGCTAAAGAGACCTTAAGACACAAGTTAAGAGTAGACCTTATAGCAGTTTAAGTCAATCCAAAGCTAGAAAAAGTGCAAAACTTGAGGAATATAAAGCCATAATCAATTATAGAGTGCCTATAGTCGACCTTGTTCCAGAAAGCTTAAGAAACTGAAGAATTGAATAGACATAGTCAATCTTGATAAGTCAAAAGCATGAAAAAGGACTTTACATAGCCATAGTTGATTGTAGCAAAGGGGTAGTTGACTACCATAGCACAGACTTGCAAAAAAACACGCTATTGGGAGTTGGATGAATTAGAAGAAGGTTATACTTGACTATGGAGCCCTAATTTGAGAAATTTGAAGAACATAGTCGATTTTAAGAGTGTCATAGTCGACCTTCAAGCTCCAACAACAGTCAAATTTGATTCAAACTTGTGTTTAACGGCTCCAAATTTCACATAAGCTATAAATAGTCACCTTTAAGCTATTTGGTAAAAAGAGAACACCTGCAATAACGTTTCAAATCCTAAAGAGACCTCCTAAAGCTTATCCTCACTCTATAGCTTCATTTTAGCCTTTCACCAAGTTTAGAAAAGTTTTACACTTACTTCATTTGAGTTGATATTTCTTCTCTTCACACATTCAAGGTAAAACATTTAGCACCTAGCTTTTGTAGAGGTATTCTTACTATACTTTATATTCCTCTTGTAAAAGTTCTAACTTAACTTTGAAAAGCTATTTGTAAGTTTGTGGTTGAGTTTGTGAAAAACCATTATTGAAGGGTTATCACTTGATCTAGTTAAAAAGCAAAAATCTTTTTATGGACTTTGTAAGGGTTATCACTTGATCTAGTTAAAAAGCAAAAATCTTTTTATGGACTTTGTAAGGGTTATTGCTTGGTCTTGTGAAAAAATTAGTGTAAGGGCTTTTGCTTGATCCAATTAAAAAGAAAAAATTTGTTTCTGGATTGTGTAAAGATTATTGCTTGATCTCGTAAAAAAGCCATTATGAGGGTTACTGTTTCATCCCATTAAAAAGTAAGAATCTTTTTTATGGGATTGAAAATTCCTTGGTTGCCAAAGGAGTAGATGCAGGCACTTGAAAGCCAAACCACTATAAATCCTTATGTCTTGATTTATTTTTATGCTTTGTGGTTTATTGTTAATATTTGTACTAGAGAAAAACTCACTTAGTTTGTTTTTCAACACAAGGAGGAAACTTGTTTTAAAAAGACTTGATTTTTTTTTACATTTGGTTTTCAAAGAATTCTTTTAAGAAAAATACCAATTCACCCCCCTCTTGGTATTATTTGCCTCGAGGTTATACTACTAATAATTGACTTGTGTGCTTGATTTTTTGTGTACAATACGTGTCGCACCCAACTTTGTCTCTAGCGCAGGGCACCCATACATAACTTTTTTTCATGCACTGCGTTAGTGTCGTGCACAATTGTGCGCACTTTTTAGAAAAAATAAAATTTTTTTAAAAATAATTAAATCAATAAAAAGTCTATATATTTTTTGATAAGGTTTTTTTCTTTTTGTTTTTTTTTCAATATTTATGCTAACAAAAATATTATTACTCATGTAGACTTATCTCATTTTTCATCATCAATGTCTACGGGCTTCCTTTTCCATCTTTCTCTATGCTTAGGACACGTTTTAGTCTGAAGATCCATTATGGTGAACCTATTAGGACTGCAACAGGGAAAAACACCATTGCACATAAAAGGAAGAATATCGATTTTGAAGTTTTCCTTCTGAAAAGATTCGATTAGGGAAAACTGGTGAAGTTCATTTTGTTTCATAAAATCGAGAAAATAAAGTTACTAGAGAAAAAGGAGATGATCATTTTTGGGAATAAGTCTGTGCTATACAAGTTGACAAACATTCTTTTAAATTAGTTGGATATGATTGGAATCGTCTATGTTAAAAACACCTCTTCATCAAAGAATTGGTATTATAAACCAGTCAATTCTGAAGCTCAAATTTAAGCATGGTGAGTTCCCATTTTTCATTACTAAATTTGGCTCTAATTCTCAAGTTTTTCATGGTTGGGATTTGTAGGTAAACCAAGTGTTAAAGAATTCCACGTATGTGAAAATTCCCTCAACTGTTGGAGTACTTGATGTTGTACATGTCACCTTTAATTTCAACACCTGTAAAGAAAAAAAGATGGATGTATGGCTTGCTATTCTTGCAAGGTGGAACACATTTTCTCATACTATGATTACAATACGAGGGGAATTTACCTTCACTCTGAAGGATTTGTGTGTTTTTTAAGAACTTCCTTGTATGAGGAAGAATGATTTTCATTCTCTCAAGCTTTTTGAAGAAAAGTTATGTATTTGAGAATTTTTTTTTCTTGGTCTACTCATTAGTTTAAGTAAAATTTTAAAGGTTGCACAATTCTCCAATTAAATGGGGGTTTTTTTATAAGAAGTTCAATAGTAAGGGAGTTAAGAGCAACCCTCTTGAGTACCTAGACCATGAGCATAAACTGATGGCTTTATTAAGCTTTTGGTTGGCTTGGTATATATTTTCAAGGTGTCCAGATTACAGCATCTCATTAGTAGTCATTTTTTTTGCAATAAAG